CATAGGCGTCTTCTAATTGTAACAGTACTCACAGGGAACTTTACACCTTCTTTCATCTTCCTGGAGCTGATTGTTGGCTGAGTCCGTGCCATTTTGGCTATTCTATCCATTCCAATGGTAGTTTTTTCACTTTCTTCCACGTCTTTCAGGTTTCGGTTGCCATTTTAAAGCATTTTCGATCATATTAGCTGAGCAGCCTATCATTTTCTGCACTTCTTTATATGTTTTCCCCTCTCCAATCAACTTTTTAATCAAGGTACGCTGTTGTTCTGAACAATGTCTGGAACGACCTATTTTCCTCAGAATTTCAGAGAGAAATGCACTGTAACCAGCATGTACAACATTTGCTGCCTTCCTTCCTTAAATAAGGGCAATAATTGCCACCTGTTTTTCAAAGAATGAATGACCTCACTAATAGAACTCCACACTGCTATTATTTTGAACATGCCCCTTTCAATTAGTGATTCAATTACACAGAATCAGCAGCATGCATGTCATGACTGTTGGGTCTGTTGGGTTTCTGTTACTCTACTACACCTGCTAGTAAATTATTTGCCATGTAGAAATATCATTTCTACCAAAAACAGTGATTGATCAGGTTAGTGATGTCTGACTGCTATTATTTTGAACACAACTGTATATACAGTCAGGTCCATAAATATTGGGACATCGACACAATTCTAACATTTTTGGCTCTATACACCACCACAATGGATTTGAAATGAAACGAACAAGATGTGCTTTAACTGCAGACTGTCAGATTTAATTTGAGGGTATTTACATCCAAATCAGGTAAACGGTGTAGGAATTACAACAGTTTGCATATAGATCTGACCTCGGCTTGGCTAATAGATGTTCTCACCTGCTCTCCTGATCTGACCTCGGCTTGGCTAATAGATGTTCTCACCTGCTCTCCTGATCTGACCTCGGCTTGGCTAATAGATGTTCTCACCTGCTCTCCTGATCTGACCTCAGCTTGGCTAATAGATGTTCTCGCTTGATCTCCTGATCTGACCTCGGCTTGGCTAATAGATATTTTCACTCGCTCTCTTGTGTATGACCCCAGTTATCCTATTGACTACGTCTGCTCCAATCTCCACTTGGCACCTGACCTTGGCTTTGAACTAACTACTTTGTGGTCCTCTGCTACCCTGAAGGCCTGCATACCTCTCAAGGGCGCCACCTGTCTGCAGACACCGCTCCAGTGCATCAGCTGTGCTCCTGGGTGTAGCTCTGACAAGCACTCCTACAGGCGACCACTTTGGGCCTGACTCCTTCAGTCCCATATACAGGAGAGTCTGGAACTCAGCCGCAAAGGAAGCCCTCTCTCTATTGGCCTCTGTCAGTACAAGTATCACGTGCCTGGTGTAACTCTGTTAGAATACAATGTTAATATTTAATTGTACAACTACAACAGTATCAATTTTCCGTAGTGATATATTCTTCAACCTGTAGATGGCAGTGTTTATAGGTTTGTAGCTGCATCAATGGTCAAACTCTATGTCTTTTCTCTATAATAAAAGTTCCTGTTTCCTGTTAGCAGAGAAGCAGCTGGTAAACACATGTGAACTGTGCACTGTCTGTTCTGTAGAGCTATACACAGAATCTCTAATACACTCCAATTATGTTTCTGCCACAGTTCTAGCATTGAGGTTATTTACAGTTAATTTGCAATTGTGCATTTTTATTTTCACACTACCATTAACAAAATAAATAAAAATGAAAAAATTAATTACTATTAATAGTTACAAAAAAGGCAAGAAAATAATAGCTAAAGTGAGAAAAGGGGTGGAGGGGGGGGGGGAGGAGATATTATTCAGGGGTGATTACAGTTAATGAAGGGTAAATAAGGTGTTAAAAAGTAAAAATGTTGTTAAAACATTGCTTTTTTTTACTTGTAAGGTTGCTTTAACAAACATGATATGCATATCAAAGTCCACTCCTTTGTACGCAAGCAGTTAAAGAGACAATGCTTTTGTTTTCCTTTATCTGTGTATGTATGTGGTCAACTTAAACTGGCTGTAAACCTCAGAAATGAAATATGAACAAAGCATATTCATCTATAATGTGTACTTGTCTCAATCCAGAGCAAGTGTCATTTCTGTCTGCTGCCCCATTCCTTTGCCATCTGCATGAGTCACTTCCGACAAGTTTTCCTGACAAAAGAAAAAAAGGTTACAGGGGAGGGAGCTCCAGCACACAGTCTTTGACTGACAACCTCAGTTCTGTTCCTGTGTGCTGTGTGAAGGGGGGGGTGTCTCTTCCCTCCAATCAGCTCTCACTGAGATCTGCAGAGTGTAACTTCAACTCCCCACCCCCTTCTTTCTTAATGCTCAGACAAGCTGTATAAATTCTGGACTTTGAACAGCTGTAAAGGAGAGAGGTCCTGCAGATAAACAGGTACAACATCTGCAGGAGGATTTATTTAATCTCTGTGTATCACCTGAAGTTCTCTCAGCTCTGAAAAGCAGGGAGCAGGGATCTGAAATTACACTCTCAAGAACTCAGTGAGGAGAGCTCTGAGCCGATTGGAGGGAAGAGACACAACCCCCTCCATACAGGAACAGAGATGAGGCTGTCAAACTGCTAGAGGTCCTTCACCTGTCATCACCTTTTTTTTTTGTCAGGAAAACTTGTCAGAAGTGATTCATACTGACAGCAGAGGAAGGAAGCAGTGGACAGAAATGATACTTAGTGCTCTGTATTGAGACAAGTACACACTATAGAGGGATATGCTTTGTTCATATTTCGTGTCTGAGGTTTACAACCACTTTAAAATCTCTTCTTTTATAGGGTGCTGCTGTTTTTACTCTTTTTTATTGTGTAGTGCCAGGGACATCTTTAAAGACGTATGCAGAAGATGTGTATTGATAGAGAAAGACAGAAGCATGTTCACAGTAGAGAAGACTAAAAGGATTATTTTCACTACTCACCTTGTGGTTCACTTGGTGTCTCATCGTGATGGAAATCCTCACAGCTGTCAGTTTTCCTGCGGACATATCAGGCAATGTAAGATTCTTTACAAAAACAGAGTGTTGTGCGTCTTACTGCGGAATCTACAGACTTAGATCTATATGTCAGTGACATTTGCTGCACATAAATATATAACCTCAGTATATGGAGTCTGTTTTATGGGAAGCAATTGCCACAGAAACATCTGCATTCAAACAAAATACAATAGAATGATGATGTCGTCAGCACATACGGAGTCCATTCATAAAACTGGTTTTATCTTGTTCTGGTTCTCTTGATTGATATCTCACCTGATCTATCTCATATCACCTACATTAACAAACAAACACGCAGAACTTAGTTTTTTAGGCTGTTGTGTATGTAGGGGTAGTTTACAATTTCTAGTGTTATTATAGTCTTTATTTTATCAACCCTTAAAAAAAAAAAATTTCACAAAGATTTGTCAAGTGGGCTTTCACAAACACCAGCTTCAGGGTGCGGATATATGGAGCTTCAACCAGCCAGATCAGACAACTGTCATTTATTATCCATAGGTGCCCATAGCCATGAGATGATTATCTACCACTGCAGACAATATCACTTTATTTAGGTGTTGAGCATTGCAGGGGTATTTTAACACTGCTAGGGCTACTATGGTGCTTTCTTTTACCAGCCCTTATGAAAAAAAAAAATTATTTCACAAAGATTTGCCAAACTGGCTATTACTCCTTAAAGTGTTACTAAACCCAGAACCCCGCATTCACTATATCCGGTCTCCCCGGACTCCGCATTCACTATATCCGGTCTCCCCGAACCCCGCATTCACTATATCCACTCTCCCCGGACCCCGCATTCACTATATCCGGTCTCTCAGGACTCTGCATTCACTATATCTGGTCTCCCCGGACCCTGCATTCACTATATCCACTCTCCCCAGACCCTGCATTCACTATATCCGGTCTCCCAGGACCCTGCATTCACTATATCCGGTCTCCCAGGACCCTGCATTCACTATATCCGGTCTCCCAGGACCCTGCATTCACTATATCCGGTCTCCCAGGACCCTGCATTCACTATATCCGGTCTCCCAGGACCCTGCATTCACTATATCCGGTCTCCCAGGACCCTGCATTCACTATATCCGGTCTCCCAGGACCCTGCATTCACTATATCCGGTCTCCCAGGACCCTGCATTCACTATATCCGGTCTCCCAGGACCCTGCATTCACTATATCCGGTCTCCCAGGACCCTGCATTCACTATATCCGGTCTCCCAGGACCCTGCATTCACTATATCCGGTCTCCCAGGACCCTGCATTCACTATATCCGGTCTCCCAGGACCCTGCATTCACTATATCCGGTCTCCCAGGACCCTGCATTCACTATATCCGGTCTTCCAGGACCCTGCATTCACTATATCCGGTCTTCCAGGACCCTGCATTCACTATATCCGGTCTCCCAGGACCCTGCATTCACTATATCCGGTCTCCCAGGACCCTGCATTCACTATATCCGGTCTCCCAGGACCCTGCATTCACTATATCCGGTCTCCCAGGACCCTGCATTCACTATATCTGGTCTCCCAGGACCCTGCATTCACTATATCTGGTCTCCCAGGACCCTGCATTCACTATATCTGGTCTCTCAGGACTCTGCATTCACTATATCTGGTCTCCCTGGACTCTGCATTCACTATATCTGGTGTCCCAGGACCCTGCATTCACTATATCTGGTCTCTCAGGACCCTGCATTCACTATATCTGGTCTCCCAGGACCCTGCATTCACTATATCTGGTCTCCCAGGACCCTGCATTCACTATATCTGGTCTCCCAGGACCCTGCATTCACTATATCTGGTCTCCCAGGACCCTGCATTCACTATATCTGGTCTCTCTGGACCCTGCATTCACTATATCTGGTCTCCCAGGACCCTGCATTCACTATATCTGGTCTCCTCGGACCCTGCATTCACTATATCTTGTCTCTCTGGACCCTGCATTCACTATATCTGGTCTCCCCGGACCCTGCATTCACTATATCTGGTCTCCTCGGACCCTGCATTCACTATATCTGGTCTCCTCGGACCCTGCATTCACTATATCTGGTCTCCTCGGACCCTGCATTCACTATATCTGGTCTCCTCGGACCCTGCATTCACTATATCTGGTCTCTCTGGACCCTGCATTCACTATATCTGGTCTCCCCGGACCCTGCATTCACTATATCTGGTCTCCCCAGACCCTGCATTCACTATATCTGGTCTCCCCAGACCCTGCATTCACTATATCTGGTCTCCCACAGTACACATAACATGGAAATGCAATTATTATAGTAAATATAAACTGCTAAATACCTTTTCTCATCAGCAGTTACAGCAGTCTTGTGACTTCTATCAGTGTCCAGCCAAGCACTGGTTAGAGCTTGTAGGAGGAGTTTTCATACTCCCCCGATTGTCCAATGAGGCTGCATAACCCCTGACCCTCTGTCTGGACATCACTAATTGACCCTGTGCTGATCACATGCACTCTCCCAAGAAAAAAAACAAACAAAAAACTCTCTAGCAATACACACCAAATTGAGCATGTGCAGCTTGCCCCAAAGGCTCTGTTTTATCAGCAGATGGATTGGGGACAGTATAAGAAGGGGAGGGTCAGAGAAGACAGGAACAAACAGCCTTTTTACATAATGCAAATGATTAACCCCTTAGGTTCCACAATGAGTATAACAAGCATGCTCTACTGCGTATACAAACTGAGTTACAGCAGTCTAGTGACTTCTATCAGTGTCCAGCTGAGCACTGGTTAAAGCTTGTAGGAGGAGTTTTCATTCTGCTTTGTTTGTCCTATGAGGCTGTATAACACCTGACGCTCTGTCTGGACAGTGCTCATTAGCCCTTTGCTGATCACATGCACCCTCCCAAGAAAACAAAACTCTAGCAATACACACTAAGTTGAGCATGTGAAAAGTGACTCCTAGAGCTCTGTTCTATCAGCAGATGGATTGGGGACAGTATAAGAAGGGGAGGGTCAGAGAAGACAGGATCAAACAGCCTTTTTACAGAATGCAGATGATTAACCCCTTAGGTTCCACAAGGAGTATAACAAGCATGCTTTACTGCATATACAGACTGATTTTACTGTTGTGGGTTTTGTAACACCAGTTTCAGGGTGGTGATATATAGAGCTTCAATCAGCCAGATCAGACAACTGTCATTTTATCCATAGGTACCCATAGGCATGAGCTCATCATCTCCCAATACAGACAATATCAGCTGCATCAGGCAGTTGTTTTCATGTCTATGGGGGCCATTGGAGCGCTGGACACCCTGAGTTAACCGCCTTCAAGCTAATACCTCAAAGAAAGATTTATGTAGAATATCCGAAGAACCAAAATCACAATGTTATCAATAACATATGAATGCCTTGACGCGTTTCACGCCAAAACGGTTAGTCTTGAATGAGCGCCGAGGCATGAAAAGCATCATGGCATTCCTATACCGATGTCAGCATTATGATTTATGGGCTCTACAAAATGTTTTCACCCAGGATTTACATGGTTTTTTTTAATTGAATCTGGGTGAAAACTCAGTCTTGATAAATAAACCTCCGGGATTCATAAATAAACCCGGTTCATCAGATTAAGCTGCGTGGATCTGTCTTTGAACAGTCGCATGGTGTATTCAGCAGGGCAAAGCTGTTAATTTGGAAGCGATTCAGACATTGATGTGAACCAAGTCATCCCAAGGAGGTAGCAGGTCTTTCACCACCTTCAGCCCTGGTTCACACTGATGCAGTGTGTAATTTGCAGCGTTTTCTGTGCGAATTCTGCACCGCATCAGAATCGCACCCCGTTCATGCGAACCACTGCGGGCGTGTATGTTAAGTTAAAGCGGAGCTCCACCCAATAGGGGAAGTTCCGCTTTAAGGACTGCTCCCCCACTCCCCACTTTTGGGGGGGGGGGGAAGAGCGGGTACCCGAATTTGACAGGTACCCGCTCCCACTTCCGGTCCAATCACCTAGGTGATCGAAAGTGGAAGGTGTCCTCCCTCCCTGTAGTCTTTTGGGACATGTGACAGGTCCCAGAAGATTACAAGAGCATTCACGAAGCGCAGCGCTACTCGCACATGAATACTCGGATGTGAAGCCGCAAAAACTATCACAGCCGGGTGCCCACGCTGAAGATGCCGACCTCCTGGAATACAGGACATCTGGTGTAACGGGCTGCGGGGGACACACCACGGGACCGAGGGACAGGTAAGTGGCTGTTTTTTTGAAAGTCAGCAGCTACAGTTTTTGTAGCTACTGGAACTTTAACAACACCCTGAAAGCGGTCTGCAAACCATGGTGCGATGTGCAGAATCAGATTGCATAGGTGTGAATACCCATGCAATCCGATTCTAGTGCGGACCCAAAAAAGGCTCCTGCACATTTTTGGTGCGGGTGTGGTGCAATTAGAGCCATACAAAATGTATAGCTCTGATCGCACCGCACACAAATCGCATGTGATTTGCACAAGAATTATTATTATTATTATTATACAGTATTCAGGGTGGATTTGATTTAAATAAAACTGATTTAAATCACTAGTCAGTAAGGCTTGATTTAAATCCTAGTTTTCTACATAAAGACTAATTCTTGCTGGTATAACTTTAATATGCAAGTAGATGAAGATTTTTAGAATAACAACTTGTCATATTAGTTTTTTTATCCCCAGTTTAATAGGTTAATCATTCATATTTGGATAACTTTTCTGTTGTACTTAGGAAGGAGAAAAATAATCATTACCTTAATAATAACAATTTAAATAGATTTATTCAACTGAAACAATAACATTCCAGCATATGTGATTTGCTTAAACATCCATGTTTGTTAACTAATTTGGCTAAACAAAATATAAATATTTTAAGAAACTTAGACTATCAGCCCCTTCCTCCTCACACTTAGTTTCACTTTCTTCTTGTGCAGATCTATTCCACTCCAAACAATCAGAAAAATATTGTTTCTATTCTATTCACTGAACTTCTTGAAACTTAGCAGTGAAGGGGTTGATTCTGTATTCATAGGTTTGTAGAAGTTAGGATGAAGGTCTTTTTCTTAACTCTGTTCATGTTATAACATTTTTGCTGTGAAGAAGAGGCATGTGATCTCTCTGAGTCAAATTCAGTTTTGAGAACTGCAAAAGTAAACCAACATCTGTGATAATATCTTGTAGGCAGAGAAACTGCCCAATAATCTTACAAAAACCTCTGGAAGAGCATGACATTGTGAATGGATTCATGGAATTTATTTACCAAAAAAATTAAACATATACAGCCTTATTCTACATAATTAAAAAACTAATCTTTATTTCATGATGGAATAACCTTTGGATGGTAATATATATTTTCCTCAAAAAGCATTTTATTTAAAAAAATCCGATTTAAATAAAAAAAAATCCGATTTTTTAAAAAAAATCATTGATTTTTATCCACCCTGACAGTATTTATATAGCACCAAAAAGTTTGCTCAGTGCTGTACATTATAGTGGGAGACAATACATGAGACAATACAATACACAAGGGGTTCGAGGGCCCTGCTCCTGGGAGCTTACAATCTAGGAGCGGTGCGGTTCCTGTGTGAATCACATACGATATACTGCACCGCATATATGTGATCCCAGCCTTAAAATGATATTATTGGTGATTTAGAAATGTCTGGCTGTCCTCCTTTCTGCACTGACATAAATATTCATGTCCAAGAAATCCAAGCAAAAAAAAAAAAAGGAAGAAGAGGGGGTCAGATTATCAGATTATGCCCCCCCTCCCCCATTCTAACCATATCACAATGAGCATAGATGTCTTTAGTCTGCTGTCTGTTATATGATTATTATTACACATTTCAGATGAGCTTCTAAATATAGTACAGCTAGAATGGACTGGTTCCGTTATCACTAAACACAGTCACTGGCTGATTTACATGCTGCCAAGATCTGTACGCTTATATATTTAGTCTTTCAAGGGCAAAAAAAAAAATGTGGTTATTTTTAGCCTAAGAGATTGACATTGGAAATGACTGTAAACAGCAAAAAGGCAATAAAACTGCAGAATTAAAAGCCGACTCTACCAAAACCCACTGCTGTCTGATTCATGGGTACATGGGTGTTGGCAAGTTGAATCATGAACTGGTTAAATATCTTTTTGGGACTCCAGTTGTGAGATTTAGCCACAGTACTTTGCGTCTCCTCCGTTCCTAGTGGGTCATCTACTGTAACAGTCTGCAGTTATTTATTTAACCGCCTCCCGCCCGCCATATAGTGTAATGACGGGCGCAAGGCGGTTCTCTTGTTCTGGGAGGACGTCATATGACGTTGTCCCACTCAAATCACGCATGCGTGGCTCCAGGCGATCAGTGATGTGCTGTGTCTAATCACCGATCAACGGAAAGAGCCGAAAGAGGTCGGCTCGGTCATGTGATCAGCTGTGTCCAATCACAGCTGATCGCATGTCCAATCACAGCTCGAGAGGAGAGCAGAGCCGGTAATCGGCATCCCTCAGAGGGGACATGTGCACTGATCATCAGAGCAGTGAAGATCAGTGTGCCCTGATGATCTGTGTAGCCCCAGCAGTGCCACCTGTCAGTGTCCATCAGTGCCAGCTGTCAGTGCTCAACCATGCCACCTGCCAGTGCCCATCAGTGCCACATCAATGCCACATATCAGTGCCTACACGTGCACATCAATGCCACATATCAGTGCCCATGTGAGCTGCCTTTCAGTGTCACCCATCAGTGCTAATTAGTGCCACCTGCCATCAGTGCCAGTCAGTGCCTGTCAGTGCCGCCTAACAGTGCCAGTCAGTGCCACCTAACAGTGCCAGTCAGTGCTGCCCATCAGTGCCATATATGAGTGCTGCCTTTCAGTGCCCATCAGTGATGCCTGTCAATGTCCATCAGTGCCACCTACCAGTGCCTCCTCATTAGTGTCCATCAGTGCCACCTATCAGTGTCCATCAGTGCAGCCTATCAGTGCCCATCAGTGCAGCCTCATTAGTGCACATCAGTGAAGGAGAAAAATCACTTATTTACTAAATTTTATAACAAAAACTAATAGAAAACTTTTTTTAAAAAAAATTTCATTGGTTTTTGGTTTAAGAAAATGAATAAATACACCAAAAGAAAGCTCTGTCACAAAAAAAATGATAAAAAATTTCATATGGGTACAGTGCTGCATGACCGCGCAATTGTCATTCAAAGTGTGACAGTGCTGAAAGCTGGAAATTGGCCTGGGCAGGAAGGGGGTATAAGTGCCCTGTAGGCTAGTGGTTAAAGTGGTTGTAAATATGAAATATAAACAAAGCATATCCCTCTATAGTGTGTACTTGTCTCAGTTAGGAGCACCAAAGCCTAGTACACACAATAAGAAAATTGGCTGAAAAACTCACTTTCAGAGCGATTGTCCGAAAATCTTATAGTTAGCCGATCACGAGAGTTCATATGAAATTATCCGAAGGAACAAGCACCAAATTTTTCTCGTATACCAGAACTAATGATTTTCGTTTAATCAGTACAGTATTGGTCTGAAAAAAATCGAGTGACCAAGACTGCGCATGCTTGGAGATGAAAGAATACATTACAAAACAATACAGTGAAGGAAATAGGTATTTGATCCCCTGCTGATTTTGAATGCCATGGTGGAGAGTTTGGAATCTGATTGTTTGATTGCTCCTGTGTACAGGTGTCTTTTATACAGGTAACAAAATGAGATTAGCAGCACTCCCTTTAAGAGACTGCTTCTAATTTCAGCTTGTTACCTGTATGAAAGACACCTGGTAGCCAGAAATCCTGCTGAATGATAGGGGATCAAATGCTTATTTCCCTCATGAACATGCAAATCACTGCATCATTTGTTAGACATGCATTTCTTTTGAATTTTTTGTCGCTATTCTGTCTCTCTGTGTTACAATACACCGAACATTCGATGTTTAGACTGATCATTTCTTTGTGAGTGGGCAAACCTTACAAAAATCAGCAGGGGATCAAATACTTATTTCCTTCACTGTATATTATATCACTCTCAAAGTTGTATTCTGTCTTATGAGAATTTTCATAACTTTAGTAACCTCTTCATTTTCAATACGAGACTATCATGCAAAAAAACCCCAAAAAAACGGATGATCATCTGTCCAATTTTTTTTTTTTTTGTGCGTTAGTGTCATTTCTGTCTGCTGCTTTGTTCCTCTGCTATCAGCGCAAATCACTTCTTACAAGTTTTCCTGACACCAACAGAAAAAAAGGTGACAGGGAGGGAGATCCAGCACACAGTCTGTGATTGACAGTCTCAGATCTGTTACTGTGTTCTGCGTAAAGCGGGTGTGTCTCTTCCCTCCAATCAGCTCTCAGAGCTCTACTCACTGAGCTCTGTAGAGTGTAACCTCAGCTCTTCACCTCCTGTCTTTTGAAAGTTCAGACAAGCTTTAAAAATTCTGGACTTTGAACAGCTGTAAAGAGAGGGCTGCAGATAAACAGGTACATCCAACACAGCAAACACTTTTCTCCTGTGCAGGTACAACCTATGTAAGAGGATTTGTTTCATCACTGTGTAGCACCTGAGGCCAGTCACTTCACTAGATATATGAAAGGGTTTACAACCACTTTACAAATTCTATGCAGTATATGGAGTGAGGTGGGCCAACATCAGCTGACACTACTGTCAAAAACACGTGAGTGCCACTGATCACGCCAAATGAAATATTTCAACGTTGGAGTTTTTAAAAGCTATAAAAAGCATGCCATTAAACTTGGTAGCACCCACAAATCTCAAATATTGTGGAGACATTCTGAAAAAGCAGTTCCAGGGAAAGATTTCAAATAATGAGTGGAGAGAGGAGTTTGTAATATGTGATTTACACACTAGGTGTACGTTCTGCTGAAGTCTGTGTGATATTTCCAACACCCAAAGGCCAGAAAGTCAGGGGGAAGGGGGATGAGCATCTTCATGTAACCAGTAAAGTGCATCAGCAATCTACTAATTCCATCCAGCAAACACAGCAACTCTGCTGAATTTAGAAAGACTCTCAATGTACCCTGGCCTGTGTTCTGCATGAGACAACTGTTTTTTTTTTCCAGTCCTGTCCTGGGGCTGCTTGTTATATGTATATGGTAAAGTGTTACTAAACCCCGGACCCTGCATTCACTATATCTGGTCTCCCCGGACCCTGCATTCACTATATCCGGTCTCCCCGGACCCTGCATTCACTATATCCGGTCTCCCCGGACCCTGCATTCACTATATCGGTCTCCCCGGACCCTGCATTCACTATATCCGGTCTGGACCCTGCATTCACTATATCCAGTCTCCCCGGACCCTACATTCACTAATCCAGTCTCCCCGGACCCTGCATTCACTATATCCGGTCTCCCCGGACCCTTACATTCACTATATCCGGTCTCCCCGGACCCTGCATTCACTATATCCGGTCTCCCCGGACCCTGCATTCACTATATATGGTCTCCCCGGACCCTGCATTCACTATATCCGGTCTCCCCGGACCCTGCATTCACTATATCCGATCTCCCCGGACCCTGCATTCACTATATCCGATCTCCCCGGACCCTGATTCACTATATCCGATCTCCCCGGACCCTGCATTCACTATATCCGATCTCCCCGGACCCTGCATTCATTATATCGGTCTCCCCGGACCCTGCATTGCGGTCTCCCCGGACCCTGCATTCACTAAATGGTCTCCCCGGACCCTGCATTCACTAAATGCGGTCTCCCCGGACCCTGCATTCACTAAATGCGGTCTCCCCGGACATTACTAAATGCGGTCTCCCCGGACCCTGCATTCACTAAATGCGGTCTCCCGGACCCTGCATTCACTAAATGCGGTCTCCCCGGACCCTGCATTCACTAAATGCGGTCTCCCCAGGACCCTGCATTCACTATATGCGGTCTCCCCGGACCCTGCATTCACTAAATGCGGTCTCCCCGGACCCTGCATTCACTAAATGCGGTCTCCCGGACCCTGCATTCACTAAATGCGGTCTCCCCGGATCCTGCATTCACTAAATGCGGTTCCCCGGACCCTGCATTCACTAAATGCGGTCTCCCCGGACCCTGCATTCACTAAATGCGGTCTCCCCGGACCCTGCATTCACTAAATGCGGTCTCCCGGACCCTGCATTCACTAAATCTCCCCGGACCCTACATTATAAATCGGTCTCCCCGGACCCTGCATTCACTATATGTGGTCTCCCCCCCCTGTATTCACTATATCTGGTCTCCCAGGACCCTGCATTCACTATATCTGATCTCCCCGGACCCTGCATTCATTATATCTGATCTCCCGGACCCTGCATTCATTATATCTGATCTCCCCGGACCCTACATTCACTATATCTGGTCTCCCCGGACCCAGCATTCACTATATCCGGTCTCCCAGGACCCTGTATTCACTATATCCGGTCTCCCAGGACCCTGTATTCACTATATCCGGTCTCCCAGGACCCTGTATTCACTATATCCGGTCTCCCACAGTACACAGGACATGGAAATGCAATTATTTTTAGTAAATATAAAAAAATATACTGCATATACAGACTGATTTTACTTTTGTGGGTTTAGTAAGGTTTTTCTTTTTGATTTTCACTGAACTGCACCTTCAAAGCAAACCAATGGTATTAGGTAATAACAGTAAATAGGCTGCAGATCTGTATGTCAGCCCCTTCCAGGTTCCTGTATGCATTTCCAGCTTTTTCATAGAGATCCCCAGTAGACTCAAACTTTGTAGAGCTGTTCAAATGACACAAACCACAGCCTGCATATGGCCACCATGTAGACCCATCCATTCCTGAACCCGGCACCTTCCGACTGACCAGTGAGATCACATTGTTGGACAATAGATAGACATCAATAGCATGATGGGGTAGGGAAACCCAGGATTCATAAAGGAATGGTTGTAATTTTCTTTATAAAGTAGCTAAAGATATTAGGCTACTGAGATTTCATGCAAAGAATGTGTAGGTGCCTCCAAGATCTGCAATCTGTGGAACATCATTACAACATGCATATTTACATACAGGGGGGCTGGACTGACAAAAGGGGATCATGGGGCCCCTGTGTCCTCGCCCACACCCAAAAAAGCCTATGAAAAAGCCAATGAAAGGTACCAGGGGCATCTCATGGGGCCCCCTACTGACCCCAGGCCCTCGGGCAGTGCCCGAGTGCTCGAATGGTCAGTCCACCCCTGTTTACATATTAAACTGGAGGATCCTACCATTACCTCTTCCTGGTGATCATACTGTACACCAATCAGCTGTAACATGACCACCCACCTGATATTGAGTAGGTCCCCACTTGCTGCTAAAATAGCTGTGACCCATTGAGGCATGGATTCCACTAGACAAAGCATCACACTGCCTCTGCCGGTTTGCCTTCTTCCCATAGTGAATCCTGGTGCCATCTCTTCCCCAGGTGAACGAGACACATGCACCAGGTGATCAACATGATGTAAAAAAACAAAAAACACAGGATTCATCAGACCAGGCACCTTCTTCAAATGCTCCGTGGTCCAAAAGGCCAACGGTAGCCACTTTTGGCTGTGGACACGAGCCAGCATAGGCACCCTTACAGTCCGGGGCTACACAGCCCCATATACAACAAATTGCAATGTTCCGACACAAAATCTATCACAACCAGTGTTATCTTTTTCAACAATTTGAGGTACAGTAGCTCTTCTATTGTCCCCGGTTCACATACATGCGGCCGTGCAGGCCGTGTTTTGCACGGACACGAGAGCCCATTCATTTGAATGGACTCCCGTGCCCCGTGACATGTAGGGAAGAAGTCTCTGCACTTCTTTTAAAACGCAGCTCGCGCGGGAACCTCGGTTCTCAGGACGGTTGCGTTTCCCAGTGCGGGCGGCATGCCATTAGAACAAACAACGCTGCAGATCCACATGAAAATCCATGCAGCCGCACCACCCGCACAGAGAAATGCGGACCCGCGGGCAGGTGCCATTGTTCTAATGGCATGCCGCCCGCACTGGGAAACGCAACCATACTGTAAACCGAGGGTTAGCCTTCACTCCCCACATGCATGAATGGGCCTTGATCACCCATGACCCTTTTGCCGATTCTCCTTCCTTGGACCATGTAGATCCTGCCCACTGCAGACCAGGACCATCCCACAAGAGCTGTGGTTTTGGAGTTCCTCTGACCCAGGTGGCTAGCCATTACAATTTAGCCCTCGTCAAAGTCACTCAAATCCTTACGCTTGCCCATTTATTCTAACTTCAACACATCAACTTCAGGGACAACACGTTCACTTGCTGCCTAATACACCTCACCCACTTTCAGGTGCCATTGTCACAAGATAATCCATGGTATTCACTTTCCCATCAGTGGTTATAATTTTATGGCTGATTGGTGTGAGTTGAAGCTGACCTTCAGTACAGAAGAGCTCCAGATATGATACGATATTGTAACTCTTGCACACATTTCTATAGATATCCATTGGATGTTTCCTTAGGGAGGTACTGCAGAATAATTAACCTCCAAAGCTGCGCAAAGTCTACAAGTCATTCATGATTTTATGCATACCAGTCACCCAGGAGTTTGCGGTACTGCCTCATCTGTTCTTCAAGCTGCCTCTCTTCTTCCTTGCAGCTATGAAGGGCTTGATTCAAAAGGGACAGCAACCTGTTATATCAGCAGAGGAAGAATATAAGACGTGTGATTTACAACAGACGACATTTATGTGATGCATTTATAGAATATCAAAGTCAATACGCAATCTAAGGAGATACTTGTATGTATTCTATTCTTACCTTGTGGTACAGTCATGCACATTAACCACTTCCAGTCCTGACACTTTCACCCCCTTCCTGTCCAGGCCAATTTTCAGCTTTCAGTGCTAGCACACTCTGAATGGCAATTGCACGGTCATGCAACACTGTACATATGAATTTTTTTAGCATTTATTTTGAGACAGATAAAACTTTATTTTGGTGATATTATTCACCACTGGGATTTTTTTTTTTTTTTTGCCAAGTCCAAAAATTTTGAAAAAGTGTTTTCTTATAAAACTTTGCAAATAAATAATCTTTCTTCATAAATATTGGCCAAAATTTATTCAGTTATCTTTTTTGTAAAAAAAAAAAATAAATAACCCAAATTAGTTTATAACACAAAATAATAATTGTTTTTTTAATTTTTATTTTATTCTTTTATATTATTATTTATGTTTTTTTTCTAACATACTGTCACCCTAGCAGTACAGTGTCACCATAGTGACACTGTACTACTTGTGGGGGGTGAGAGATTTTTTTTTTTTTTTTTTTTTTTTTACACGGATTGCTTTTACACCCATAAAGGCTGTAAAAGCAATAATTTCTCCTTCTATATGGCTGCATTCTTGCAGCCATTGAGAAATACTGTGAGAGATGTGATTGGTCACAGCTTGTTACATGGTACAAGGCTGTTGTGAATAGCATTGTACCATGTGACCTCCGTGATCATTCACAGATTTCACTAGTAAGCAATGATGTCAGGAAATGACATCTTGCTTAATACTATTCATATGATCACTGATTGGCCAATCAGTGATCACATGAATCGGGATCTCATACAGAGGTCCCGTACAGCGATCGGTGTTCCACTGTGTCTGGAGGACACAGTAGGCACCGGATCGCGGTGCCGCCCACTCCCAGGGAGTGCGCACATGCTGTAAATGTGGGAGCCGTTTATTTTATTGTTATCATATCTTTTAGTGGCACATTTGTGTCATTACGTGGTTCTAGTTTTTATTTTATTTTTTTTCTTTGTTGCTGTGGTTTTTATTACCTTTCAGCACATTGTGTTATAAGTGTTGTTGCACTTATTTCTGTGTTTGTGTTCACATAAATTAATCCCAATTAGGGATTTCATCACATATTTTGTCACATCACTATTTTTGTAGCACATTTATGTGGTCCGAAAGTTGTATTTGGAGTCGGGTTCCATCCTGACAGTCTCACTTTTATTTATTTACGTCAGTTGTGAGTTGTTTGGACACAGCACTTTTTTCTAGGTATCATTTATGCCATTGATCTATCACTTTATTTGTGATTGATGTCTTTTTTTTTCCCTGTTTTAAGGGATGTATGTTTAGTGGTTCACTATTTTTCGTCAGTGTGTGGTTTGTTGTCTATACATATATGTATATTGGTTGCACTTTTTCACAAGTTATTTATCAGTTTTTGATGTGTATACCATTTTTTGTTAGAATTCATCTGTGATTTATATGTATGCAATAATATGCCTTTTAAGTTTATTTAGAAA